GCCACTGAGTCTGCAGAGACTCAGTGAAAGCAGGAGCTCTGGAGTTGGGCAAACATAGTTTTGAGTTTCACTATGTCACTTGGCCACGTGACTTGGTTTGGCCACTTAACCTCCCTTTTTCAGTTTTCTCATTTTTTTTTCTTGTTCTCTTTTTTTTGGTGGGGGGGAGAGGTGTTGTTATTTTTATTGTTGTTGTTTTGAATGCAAGGCCTCATGCGTGTACTTAACCACTAAACTACACCCAAAGACAGTTTTCTGTTTTCCAAAAAGGGAGTAATCTGTTCTTGTAAGGTTTCTGTATGAGCTACAAACAATATATATCCCAAGATGAATGTAACCACTATATGTTGCAAACATGTACCAATAAAATGTTTTAAAGAAACAACATGTGTAAGTGTTTTATACTCATTGGCACTCACATGGTGTCCATTTATACTTATGTATGTGTTTCTCCTCCCTTAATTCTGATAACCACTAGGTGGCACGCTGCGCCCATTCACCGGTGATACTGCCGAGAAGGGCTCGGTTGGGGAGAAGTTAACTGCTCTGGTTGGGCCAGGGGGATGCATTCATAGATATTGGGTCCTCCTCTCTGTAGCTGGGTGACTGACCCTCCCAAATGCGAATGTCATCCTAGTTTTATGCCTGAAAGTTCCTGGTCCTTGGAGTACTGAATGTGTTCTCCAGGAAGACTGGAATGATTTCAGATAAAAGTATCAGGCATGGGAAAGGAAGCTGAGCTTCCCATAGTCCTTCCCTGCTTGCTGGGGGAGAGGGGCAGACCAGACTGGACATCACTGGGTTCCTGAGTCCCTCAGCTGAGGCCTAGTTAAATTGAGGACAATGATGATATCTAGAGGTAATATGAAAAACTGCAGTCTGAAAATCACCCCTTTGATCCTTATGGTTTTAGTTGATTAATAAATACTTATTTACTGAGCTCTCAATACATGCCAACCCTTAGTTTAGACAAAACCACAATTTTTGGGAGCCTTGGAAAGCATCCTTAGGCAAATAAACTTATCCTGAGGTCTACTGGCTGAGGAAATCTTAGGTAGGAAGGGAAAAAAAGTACCCCAGGTAGCATATAGCAGCAAAAACAAAAACTGTGAGTGGAAAGAAATGCAAAACTTTCCCCAGAAACTAATTACAGGCTGGCGAATAGCAGTGACAAAAACCTGGGGGGTACATAAGGAGCTAATCAGCCACAGGAATGTTTTCTATCTTGATCCTAAGAACAGTCAGAATTTATTGAAGATTTTTGTTAACTGGTTCTGTAGTAGGAGGGATGGAAAACTAAGGCATATATATATATATATATATATATATATATATATATATATATGGTACTGGGTATCAAACTCATGACTACACGCTTGCAAGGCAGACACTTATGCCTCTGAGCTAAATCCTCAGGCCCCTTATATTGAGTTAAATCTTTAAATCTTTTATCTTATTCTCTTTTTTTCATTTTGAGACAGGGTCTTGTGAAGTTACTAACTTGCTTAAACTGAGTTTGAACTTGGGATTCTCTTGCCTTATCCTCCAGAATGCTGGATTACAAAGATGCACCACTACACCTAGTCTATTGAAGGATTTTAAGAAGGCCACTAACATAATTAGATTTGCATTTCTCAGTGCTAACCTCAGCTACAGGATGGAGGTTGCCAAGATAAAGCCAGAAAGACAGAAGGTCATTATAGCATCCAGTGACAGGTGATAAGGATTTGGGGGCAGGGCTGTTAGCGAGAGGGTGTGGCCATAGAATAGGCAAGGACATGGTAATTGGTGGGAGGGGCGAGCTGCGGCATAGGAAGTATTCTGATTTCCTACAAGTTTCTGGCTCGGGTCACTGGAGAGCAATAGGACAGCTGCTGAGAAGAGGGAGGACAATGTTGGGTACAATGGATTTGAGGGGCCTTCAGGACACCTAAATCAAGATAACAAACAAATTGGGCATGATGACACATACCTGAGCATTCTGGGAGCCCTGAATTCAACCCCAGTATCAGACAATAGCAAAATTCTCACTCATTTGTAGAAGTTTAACTGTGAAAGGGAGGAGAAAGGTAAAATAGCAGGTGTAGGGGTAAACAAGACAGGAGTTGTTGCTGTTGCTGTTGTTGTTAGGGAGACTTGAGGCTCTCTCATTAAAAGATAAGAATGAAAATAACAGAGCAGGGTGTGGTGGCTCACACCTGTAATTCCAGCCCTCCGGAGGCTGAGGTGGGAGGATAGTTGCAAGTTTGAGGCCAGCCTGAACTGCATAGGGAGACTTGTCTCAAAAAAAAAAAAAAAAAAAAAAAGAGAGAGAGAGAGAGAGAAAATAACAGAAAGAGAAGGAAATCAGTAAAGTGGCTCATTTATGACGTGAGCTGAATCAAAATTCAGAATCCTCATATAGTCATATCCAGGTGAAATTCTTCCTTCACAGTGACTGACTGGAGAATATGAGACATTGTTAAGCACAGGTCTAACCTCTGGTGGCAGGAAGTTGAAGTATTAGTTAATAGTCTCCCCCCTCCTTTTACACTGAGCTAGGGGCCTGCAGAGACTGATAGAGGATTCTGCCTTGGGGTAATGGAGATGAAAATCCACTTCTTCCTCCAAAAAGACCCAGGCTAAAAAAGTATTTAATGACTGATATTTGCTAATCAAGTTTCCAGGCCTTTATATAAACTGTGCCCTTCCTTGAAACACATCTCACTAAGCCCACCTCCCAATGTTAACAATTTCTCACTTTGTCAGTTTCCACTCAACCTGCTGGTCTTAATTTGACAGTCCCTTCCTCTGGGTGCCTTTCCTGATCCTTTAGACAATGGCGGAAGCAATCACTTCCTCACTAGCCTCTCTTCTGTACCTGCTTCCCTCCAGTTTATTTTCAACACTGTCGAGGAAGTTCATGAGAAATGGGGTCTGAGCCCAGGGTACAGTGCAGGGGTAGTGTGCTTGTTAGCATGGGTGGAGGGCCTGGGTTCCATCCCAGCACCAAACCAAAAGAAAAAAGAAAAAAGGAGGGGAAAGTGAGATAAAAAAGGATTAAGATGCAATATGTATTGTATTTGTACCAATTTGCCACAATGAATATATTCACTATGTATTAAAAACATGCTAATAAAAGGAAGTGAGGTCAGAGAGGCCTTCCAATGGTGTCCTAATTCAGGAAAGGTAAAAGTCAAGACCTAAAGTGCTGCAAGATTTGACCTCAGGGATATCACTCTCCCTACTCAGCATCTTCCTGCAACTGCACTGAACTTTGATATTGAAAGGGTTGCTGGCCCAGGCCGGATACTGTAGCCAGTAAAGCCAAGGAGCTCCTATCTCCCCCACCCTTAGGAATTGCCTCTGGCGCCAAACTAAGACCAATGGGCTACCTGTGCATCCCTAATGCCCCCTTGGGTTCTACCCCAGGCTGAGGCTACTTATGTGCCTCACTCCACGTGTTGCACGGAGAGATCGCTGGCCCCGGGGTGGAGATGCCACGCCCCAGGGGGTCAAGGGTGTCTCTCCCCGCATTCCCAAAATAAAGGTTACTTATATTTTACACTTCTTATCTTTTTAGCCACGGTCCTCCTCCTCTTCCTCCCCTCTAAGTTCTATCAGATATAATCTGTTCCTTTGCTGGGAAAGAAATCTTTCTTATTGAGCCATCTGGCTCACTCCTTTCAGGACAGAACCCTGAGGACATTATGCTAAAAGAAATTTTAAAAAGAGAACTATAGTTTTAGAGTTTTCCTGCGCAATAAAGGAGCAGGATGTAAGAAAAAGTAAAAGTGGCCTTTTATTTGAAAGATGTGGAGGGAAGCCCACTACCCACAGTGGTTTGGCTTTCTCCTCTGCCTGGATATGGGAATGTGGGTTAAATGTAACCTTTGACAGATGTGGTGCACAGAAAGGGCACTGATGATTGGAATTTTCTTTGTGCACAATGGGAAAGGAAAAAGGAAGCTGTAATTGGGGAAGAAGAAGGAAATGACCTTCAGGGTAAACATCCCCAATTTGGCCTTTCACCGCTATAATGTCCTGTCATTTATTCTAGGAGAAAACTCTTTAATACAGTACTGGGGATAGGAATGCAGCTCAGTGGTAGATAGTGAAAATGCCTGAATTTGATCCCCAGAACAGCAGGGGAAAGAACAACAAATACTTTATTACTTTATGATCCTACAGGAAGTATTGTTAAAAGCAGTTTGGTAGTTGACAGGGATGGGGGGGGAGGGTGAAGCGTGAAGCCACTGCTTAATTGGCAGTAAATATGTGTTTACCACACACACACACACACAAATTTTATGTCCTTTCTAAGGTTGTCTGGGCTACCTCTTGTAAAAGAAAAAACCCTCTGTTAAGGGGTTCAGGACCAGACCAGATGGAAGACATGGCACCAGAGGAACTCTAGAAGGCATACAGCTTTATTTTGCTAACGAATTTAAGGGAATCTCAGTTCCAAATCATCAGTCCTGAGTCAACTTTGGGTTTTGTTTATATAGGTTTGCAAGCAGGAAGTACATAAACCGATAGCGATTTAATTTATAATTGGTTACATAGGCTGGTTTATACGTTATCAGGAAGATTTGTTCTGCGTAGGCTAATTGGGGTTACTATCGTATAAAGAGGGGGGTCAGGACTGTGGGTGAGCAGGAAGAGTCAATCATTGTTTTTAACTGAGCCTGTCTGTCCTTGAGAACTTGAAAGCAAGCTACTATAACAAGATGTACTATCCAGCTGAATTATATATATCTTACAAGTTGCAGCTGAAACGGGGGGGGGGGGCGAGTCAAGGCTTAAACGAGTTTTGTACCTTTTTAATTTTGGCAACAGGATGCGTTTCGCAATCCCATCCTTGAATAGTATTAGAAATAAAAGTTTTAAAATTTCCTTTACATTCAAAAGTTACACCTCCACAATGTCACAGACAGGCAGTTCAAACTTCAAGGTCTAACCCGGAACGGCCAGTTTCCCAGATCAGCTTCCGGTGGAAGGGAAACCTTGGTGGGGCCGGAAACAGCGGGTGCAGAGCGGGGTGGGCTTCCGGCGCGGCCCAGAAGCAGCGGCGGTGGGCTAGGAGGTGAGAGACGGGAGAGGTAGAGTTTGGGACTTAACAGCGAGAGCCATGGTTTAGGCTCCAATCTGTAGGAGGAACGAGGCCCGGATAGCTTGACTCCTTGCCCTCCACAGATCCCGCCTGCGCCTCTGTGGACCTAGCAGGCACAGAGAGCGACAGTGGCCGGAAACCTTAGCAGCTGCGCCCTGGCTCTGCACGCCCTTCGGTGGCGTCCTCTGTTCGCTCAGTCTCCACCTACACGCCACTCCAGAGCACAGTAAGCCAGCAGGAAGGCCGTGAGGAGAGTGCTCCTCCCAGGACCCATCCTGTGAAAGTTCCGCAGATCCTGACTGTAGGGGAATGGGATTCTTCACGGGCCCTGGTCTGGAAGCCAGCAGAGCTGCAAAGAGGCGGCACGAAGCGAGACCGGTGTCTACACTGGCTCAAGGTCAAACAGAGCGCCCTTGAGAGGCATCACGCCAAATCCCTCTTAACTTTCAGGCTGCTCCACAGATCTTACGTTCCCCATCACTACGGGTGAGCGAAGAACCAGGAGCCCTGTTTCTGGTCTTTGAACCTGGGGCCGGAAGTAGAAACTCTGTAAATAGAAACACAGGCCCACGATTCTAGAGGTGTTCACCTGGCCCCTGACTCTGAAAGATTCAGGTGACCTTTTCAGCCCCAGCGCTCACCAGGAACTCTGCTCAGGGTCCCTTCCTCAGAATTCACCAAAATCAGGGCCCATCTAGTGCTCAGGCCTAGAAAGGAGTAGTTATTCTAAGCTTGCTGTTCTCATACAGTCTATTGAGTCATTTTTGTGGCCCTTTTGCCTTTGCTACGTAGTCTTCCCTGACACTCCTCTACCCCCAAAATAGCCAGCTCAGAGCCAACATCAGGCCGGGAGCTACACAGAACAAGTTCACAGATGAAAACCTAGGCCTCCTGCTAGGTTGTAGCTGCACACATTGTAACCTGAGAATTCAGCAGTCAATGGTCGAATCACACTAATATACATCCTTTTGGCAAGGAGGGAAGATGAGGGCCTCTAGTTCCCCGTGGTGTGTTCTGCAGTAATTTTAACCATGGTTCAATTGCATCTCGTTTACAGTGAGGTATCCTGAGAAGCCGAGCTGGAACTACATTCCTGGTTTGGCAGATGGGAAGACTAAGCATTAACTCAAAGTTATTTAATAAGGAAGCAATAAAATGAGGCTAGGCAGGAGCTAGGGCCACTTACCACTGAGGGCGCCTGGGGCCAAGGGAGAAATTTTGGGATGAAGATGAAGTGGGAAGGACAGATAATAAAGCTGCCCAAGCCTGAGCAATTATTTTGAGGAGAACTGTGCAATATAACCATTGTTAAACTCCTGTCATCTTGTTTTGAAATCATAAACCGGCATTGGTTTTGGTTGTCGTTTTGCTTTTGCTATTTTTGTTTGCTTCTTGATTTTTTCCTGTTTTTTTTCTCTTTAAAATTAAAAATAATAATTTTTTTAAAAAGCTACCCAGAGTGATGTGGAGTGAACTGAGGGTTTTTCTGAGCCTTTACAAGCCTGACTTTTGACCCATGCTAGTGCAATCCTTGCCCAGTCCCTATAGGAAGTCAGACAATACCCTCAGGAGGTGCCACTGGCATTGTATGAGATGTGATCAAAATACAAAGTATTTTTAAATTTTAAAATGAATTACAGTAAGATACAGTGTACCTTACATTAATTCCCCTTGCTTGGAACACATTTATCTCATTGTTCTTGCCACTTTCTGAAGTAGTTCCAGGCCCTCTCTTGTATGTCTTTATGGTGTATGATCAAAAATACAGTGAATGCTGCCTCTCAGTGGCATCCAAAAGGAAGGTAGGCTGGTAAAAACATTAGTATGTTCGCATCCACCCTATTTGTCAGACCTGGCATCACAAAACTTCTAGTTCTTCCCCAAAGTCACAATGACCATCAAAGGTAAACACTTTGAAACACAGGTGCACACTAGAGTCAACTACAATGAAGGACTACAGAACCACTTCAGAAAATAGCAAGAATGAGCAGTGTGTTCCAAGCAAGGGAGAGTATTTTGAGAGGGATAAATGGCAATGTTTCCATTCTTAAACACTTACTGAAACTTTTGGGTTTTTTGATATAAAGTTTCACTATGTAGTTCAGCTGGCTTTTAACACTACATTGCCCAGCCTGGCCCTGAACTTTGGAAGTCTCAGCCTCCCAAGTGAAGGTATCACAAGTGTGCGTTGCCATAACTGGCTAATTTTTTTAAAATGTAAATGTTCAAATAATAGAATAAAATAATATAGTGTGGAGGATGTGGCTCAGTGGTAGAGCACTTGCCTTACTTATACAAAGCTCTGGTTTCCATCTCTAGCAACACAAAAACAAAACAGCCCTTACTCTTTAGTGAGCACTTAGTCACAACTCTTATGTAGTAGGGACCATTATTCTAGATTTTGCAGATGAGGAAACTAAGGTTCAGAGAACTTAAGCAACTTACTTAGTCATACTAGCTAGTGTAATAGGGGCATTCAAATCTAGTTGTCAGGTTTTGGAACTCCTGTCCAGTATCACTGATCTGTAGAGTAGACCCCAGTGTTTTTCAGCAGCACTGTCCAACTTCATACTCATGTCCCGCCTCAATTTCTCTGGTCCACTTTGCAAATGTGTAACATGAGATTTTTTTTTTTTTAATACAAGTTACTAAACCCAGGGCCTTTGCACAGAGCTACACCTCCAGCCCTTTCTTAGTGTTGCTGTTGTTTTGAGTTAGTCTGGCAAAATTGCCTATGCAGGGTTCAAACTTTCCAGTCTCAGCCTCAGACTTTAGTGGTGGGATTATAATGTGTGTGCACCCACCACCTCTGGCTGAAACATTTTAAACAATTTAAAGGACTATTAGGAGTTAAAGGCTAACTCCTGAATTGTAAATCAAAAAGCATGAAAGTGCTAAGAAGGACTTAGAATTCGGGATCCTCTGCCAACTCAAGCTGATCCGTTGTGAGGTCTCAGGAAGGCTGAGCGCCTTACTCCTGACGCCAAGTAAAAGCGGCTACTGTACTCCTGGCCATCAGGGAGGCTCAGCGCCCGAGGCTGTGACCCGGGCGAGGTCCTGGGAAGGAGGCTGCAGGGACCAGAGCCGGCTCGCGGGGGCGTGTGAGGGCGGAGTCGCAGGTCCTCCTCCCTGCAGTGCCGAGTGGCTCCTCGTGCTTTTCGCGGCTCGCCCGCCCGGAGCTGGACGTTCGGAGGCGCTCACGGCTGACAGGCGCTGCGGGGAGCACAGCACGGCAAGGTGCGTCCGAGATCTCTGGTTTGGGAAGGAGCTAGAAACACACTTGGGGAAAGAACGACTCCACTGGTTGCCAGCGGCCTCGGGAGATCGCCAACCCTCGAGTTCCAAACGAACGAGGACCCTAGGACGGGCCCGGGGCGTTGAATCCGCCATGGCCGCGCGCGCCTGCGGGCTGTGCCACATCGCCTTCCACGTGCCCGCCGGGCAGCCCCTCGCCAGGCGCCTGCAGCGCTTCTTTGGCTTCCAACCCTTGGCGGCGCGGGAGGCGGGTGGCTGGAAGCAGCTGGCCCTGCGCAGCGGAGACGCCGTCTTCCTGGTGAACGAGGGCGCGGGGCCCGGGGAGCCGCTATACGGTGTGGACCTGCATCACTCAGTGCCCAGCGCAACGAACCTGTGCTTCGATGTGGAGGACCCGGACGCGGCTGCGCGAGCGCTGGCGGCTCAGGGGTGCCGCGTGCTGGTGCCCCCTGTCAGGGTGCAGGACGCGCAGGGCGCAGCCACCTATACGGTGCTTAGGTCTCCCGCCGGCAATCTCAGCCTGACCTTGCTGGCGCGCGCTAGCTACCGCGGGCGCTTCCTTCCCGGCTTCCGACCCGTACCCTCCGCGCCCGGCCCGTGCTGGGTCAGCCACGTGGACCACTTGACCTTGGCTTGTACCTCCGGCAGCTCCCCTGCACTTCGGCGATGGTTTCACGATTACTTGGGCTTTCGCCACTTGCCGCTAAGCCCAGGAGAGGATCCGGAGCTGGGTCTCGAGGTGGCTGCTGGATCCGGGGGTGGGGGACTGCGGCTCACCGCCCTACAGTCCCCGATGTGCAGCTCTGTTCCCACCCTCGTGCTGGCCGAGTCTCTGCCGGGAGCCACCAGTACACAAGATCAGGTGGAGCAGTTCTTGGCCCGGCACAGAGGGCCGGGCCTGCAGCACGTAGGGCTTTACACTCCGAATATCTTGGAAGCCACGAAGGAGATGGTGTTGGCAGGAGGTGAGCTCCTCAAGCCCCCTGAAGCCTACTACCAGCAGCCTGGCAAAGAGGGGCAGATCCATGCAGCAGGGCAGCAGCCTAGTTTTCTGGCTCAACAGGGAATCCTGATTGATGGTGAGAAAGGCAAATTTCTGCTACAGGTCTTCACCAAGTCACTGTTTGCTGAGGACACTTTTTTTCTGGAGCTGATTCAGAGGCAGGGGGCCACAGGCTTCGGCCAGGACAATATCCGGGCACTATGGCAGTCAGTACAAGAAGCAGCTGCCAGGAAGTCTCAAGGGGCTTAGAACTGGGTGCACTTGCCAGTCTTAGTGCCTTGGGAAGTTGGCACAGGGTTCCTAGCGCTGAGCCACACTCATGGAGGCCAGCCTGGTGAAAAGTACTCCTCCCAGCTCAGTGTGGCCTCCATCTCATCAGTACCTGCCAGCACTTGAGTCTTACAGGGCTCCAAAGAGCTGGAACTGGTTTTTTGTTTTGTCTTGTTTTTAAACTCTAAATTTCTTAGTTTAATATCTGCTATATACACAAGATGTAAAAAACAGGAAAGTCCAACAGAACAAGTATTTTTGAAGCCTTTATATTGCTCTAATCACATTTCTCCGTTCCCCCCACCAACTTTAATTATGAACCCTTTGCTTTTCTGTATTGTGTCACTACAATATGAAATACATTTTTAAAGATATAGTTTGTGAGACAGGAATTTAAGACTAAATCTTGTTCTTTTCTTCTCCCTAGAGGAGCAACCTTTGTAGAACAAACTGAGTCAGAATTACCTCAATCACCTGCCCTAGGGCAATATCATTGCTCCAATCAAAGCTGGCCTGAGACCTAGCATGAAGGTGTTGGGTGTCAGCTCCTGGCAGGTGTTCCCTGCAGCTGCAGGCACTCTACAGGGGAAGGGGGAAATGGGTGCTTTGGATGGAATTCCATTTGCCCAGGGCTGTCAGAAGCTCAACCTGGGAGTCAGGACCCACCACTTTCTGGGTACCTCAGAGGTGAGAGATGTAGGGTCTGGGTAGAGGGTAGAAAGCTTTCCAGGTGACTAAAAAATAAGCACTTTATTAAACTACAGGATTCTCAGAAGTAGAGTCCAGCTGGATTCTAGAGGCATCACTGGGCTGCACTGTTGAGAGGCTGGAAGTAATTATCTAGGACTTGCTGGCCCCGGCTGGGCTTTTTCCGGCTGGACAGAGTAGACGCCTGGGAACTTTTAGAACCCTGTACAGAAGCCAAAAGAGGGAGTTACAAAGAAAGGGGCATCAGGGAATCCTTCCTTTTTCCCAGTCTACTGATCTAGCTCAGGTTGTAGCCCTACTTGGCTCCAAGTATCAAGAGGCAATCCAAGAAAATCTTAAGGTCTATATCTAACTCTCCTCTCCTCCACCTAAAGTGCATCAACAGCCTGCTTCTCATGCCCTGGCTGAGCTAGGCAGATGCAGCCAATCTCGCCAGTTAAACCACAGGCATCTCCTTGAGCACTGCAGACTGTACTGTGCCCCACCATTTGTTCCTCTACTCTTGGGCCTGGGAAGAATATCTGTGCTAGTTCCTCTCCAAACCTGGAGGAAATCACTTGTTTCTAGGACACTGATTAGCAACCCTTTCCTGATTCTTTCCTTCCAGACAGATCTGATGGCTCCCACTCCACAGCCCACAAAACCTAGCATAAACATCTCACACCTGGAAGACTATTGCCTTGATCTCCAGATCAAGAACTATTCCTCTGTCCCCTGTGAAGCCTGGAGAATGTTCACCCAAACTTGTCAAATGACTGGAAAAACATGGAGTCAGGTCTAGGGCAAGGTAGTTGCCATGAGACTCACCCTGCAGGTCCCTGTCTGATGTGCCTCATACATTCGGAACACCTGGCGGAGAAGAAAAGGAGACAAGACAGGACTAGCACCTTCTCCAAACAGCCAGATCCCTATGCTCTGCCCTCAACTTCAGGCCCCAGCACTTTGGATGCCTTTTTCTTTTTATACAGTAAGTTTAGGTAAATTGCAGCATGTGGGAAACACAAAAAGGGACAATATAGACAACAAATGTAGTGCCTTTTTCATGGCAGTGGAGATAGCTGCAGTGTGAAATTCTTCACGGGTCAGCCAGCGGGCGCCAGGTGGTGTGGTCACTGGGGTCCACTTCTCCAGGGCCAAGCCATACACCTGATACGTCAGCTTGATGTGAGAGAAGGTGTGCACCACCTAAGGGAGCAGGAGTAGGGACTGAAAGAAGCTTGTAGCTGCGGCCATAACAGCCATCACTGCTGGCCTCTCTGGCTCACTTACCTCCCCAAGGTGCTGAAGGCAGGTGGTGGGGAGGGGCCCAGCCCAGTTCTGCAGTTCCTGCAGCAGAGCTTCGCTGGGATGCTGTTCCAAGGGCTCCACAGTCACAGTTGGGAATTCCCATAGTCCTGCCAGCAGGCCTGAGGGAGAGAGCAGCATGGCATGGGTTGGACCTCAATTGCAACTTCTCTATCCTGCCCTGCTGCTCATGCCACTGCCCTCTACACCCAGTGCCCTGATACCTGAGGGGGGTCTCTGCACCAGCAGAATGAGGGCACCCCCAGTGGCTCTGAGCTGTTCCAGAACACAGGTGGCACAATGCTCCTCTCTGGGGGGCCTCCGGCTGGGCTTTCGGGGAAAGTTCGCCACTCCCAGGTTATGGTTCCAGGGTTCTGTGTGGGGCAGGCACAGCCGGCACTGTCCAGTGTTGGGAGCTGAGAACGAAGACCCCCCAAACCATGCTCAGGCCAGGAGGATTAGGTGCCCAGCCTGGAGAACAGGTTGGGCCAGCTCTACAGAATCCTGCTCAGCTTAGAGGAACTGGAATAAGGCTTTAACAGGCTGCTTGCTCCCTGACAGCCAGGGCCCTGGAGTTAAGGGTGGGGTTCTCCTCACCACACTCTTCAATGTCAGGACTGCCTGGCGGGCTCTGCGAGGCTAAGAGCTGCTCTCTAGTCACCTGAGAGGCACAAGCACAGTGTAAGGGGGAAGGGTTCCTCCCCAGGGACCTGTTTGCTCCTTCCCCAGAGTGCTCACCCTCTGATATGCCCGGCACAGGCTCTGCACAGGGCAGTCACTGCAGAGAGGGCGCTGTGGGGTACACACTGTGGCCCCCAGTTCCATGGCTGCTTGATTAAAGTCCCCTGGCCGGGCTGGATCCACCAGCTGCTGGGCTAGGCTCCTGCAAGAAGGGATACTGTTATGAGCCAAAGATTCCTTGAAGGGAATCTTCTGCCAACTTCCTTCGTTACCCTCCAGTGTTCTCCAATATCCTACCAGAGCTGTTGAGAGACAAGGCTACTGCTGGGATCAGCACCAATGGCGCGGACACGACATAGCACCCGTACGACATTCCCATCCACCACAGCTGTTGCCTGGTACAGAGGAGCCCAGGAATTAGGTTGAGCAGGGAGGAAGGGGCAGGAGGACACAAAGTGGCACTGGGCCATACCTCACCTGGCCAAAGGCAATAGATGCAATGGCTCCAGCTGTGTACCGCCCCACACCAGGCAGGAACTTCTGCAGGGTCTCTGCTGTACATGGCATATGGCCCCCTAGCTCTCTTACCACCTTAGGGTAAGAAAGCTAAAGGTTACAAGCCACCCTAAAGGTTACGAGCCAACTGGGGGCTGGAGGCCCTGGAACTTCCAGGCCCCTGCCATCCTCTTACCTTTTGAGCTCCTTCTTGCAGCCTACGACCACGGGAATAATAGCCCAGGCCGGCCCAGAGCTGGTTCACCTCCTGTTGATGTGGTCACAGAACAAAGAAATCAGTTGTTGATCCCTCAAGTGTCTCCATTCACCTAAACAAGAGCGGCTCTCACCTCCAGGGAAGCACTGGCCAGGTCCTGCAGCGTTGGCCACTTCTGCGGCCCCAAGGCAGACAAGAAGAAACAGGTAAAGGGTGCAGGTGATAAGGAAAGCCTGCTATATACATCCACCCAAAGTGCAGGCTTCATCGGGGGAGTCTGACCCAACCTCCCCCACCCTCTCCAGGGATCACCTGCATCCATCGGGTATAGTAGTTGATCACTGTGGTAACCTGGGTCTGCTGCAGCATAATCTCTGACACCCACACTAGGGAGAGGATTGGGATGAGTGCACCACTCACTTACCTGCTGCCAACCTGCAGCCCCCGACCCACAGACATCTTGGCAAAGCAGCCCACCTCAGAAGAGACACTGACCAGCATATGCACGCCTATCTGGGTCCACCTCGTGCTCTGCCTGTCAGTGCAGCCCCAGGTGGGATGTTAGTGTGGAAGGGGTTGAGTGCCAGCCCCCTGCCCTAGCTCCCTGGTCCCTTGCCTGCTTACTTGTCTTCTCCAAGGCAGGTCCCGCTTTTCCCGATCGTACCAGTTCAGCAGGTTCCCCCGGAAGGCTGTGACTTCCACTGAGTCTCTGAATAGATGGTACGAAGAAACAGAGGCCTGCAATACCTCCTCTTCTTGCTGTCCAGCTAGGCCTGCAGGAGCCCCAGGATACTCACAGATCATCCCAGCACAGGTTGTGCACCAGGGACCTAGAACAGTGAGCTTCCCCCAACACAGCCCCTTGCTTCAGCTTTGTAGCTGGAGTGACATCAGATTGTGGCCCCACGTCTGGCCTTAATTTTCTCAGGGTGGTACTGCAGGCTCCATTGTTTCTGGGCCATAATGAAAATCCAACAGTTTCAGCCAGGCATAATACCACATGGGCTTTCTTATTTCCAAAACAGGTGAAAGCCACACAAGGGAAGAAATGCCCAGACTACTGTTTGTTTCCTGGTAAGAAAATAGCCAATCAGAGCCCTTACCCCAAAATCACACAGCAACAGTCAGAATTAAACCTCCAACTAGTGTCTTGTGCCATGCTTGACTGCCAGCTTGAAAATGTCCTCTTTCATGGCCAATGAAAACACCTTACAGGCCCAGCTCCTCACCATTAGGGGCAGGAGGCTTGGCCTGGCTACTCCTGTGGGGACGTTGCTCCATTCCCTTCTGGTTGGCTGCCTGCTTCCTGTGACTTCTTGCCATGGATGCTTTCCTCATGATCGCCTGGAACACAAAGATCCTGCCAAAGTAGTGGCAGTGAGGCTGAGTCTTGGATGCCTACAGGAGTTAGAATGCCTCTCTCCTATACCACTCACGTGGTGTCCACTTTCTCCTCAAGCACGCAAGATGCCCACAGCTTTGCTATTGGCTTTGGTGACACAAAAGACCAACAGAGCTAAGCAAGGGGCTCAGGGCCCAGCATGAATACAGTCCTGGAGGCACACTAAGAGGCCAGGCCTGGGATTGGCCAGGACCAGCCATCTGTTGAGGAGCACTTGTTTATCAATGATGCTTTTGGTAATCAATGGATGGATAGCAATTATTTTGGGATGGGGGAAGGTTTTTCTGTTTATAGATGTAGCATGGTTACACTAAAAGAGCGTTTAGTAGTCATCTAGTCTAAAACCTTCATTTGCTAGAAAGGAGAAACCAAAGATCAGAGAGGGAGGAAAGACCAGACTAAGGAGGAGATGGGAAAATCAGTGAGGAGATACATATAAGATAGTTTTATTCCTAATCTTTTCTGGGCTTGGTAAGTCATCACTGGTGACTATTAGCAACAAGAAAATGTGTCTGATCTTTACTGCTCCCTGATCTTTTGGCTGCTTTCTCTGTTTTGAAACAAGGTCTCACTATGTAGTTTAAACTGGGCTTGAACCCGCACTATGTAGCCTGGGCTGGCCTTAAACTTCCAGCAATCCTCCAGCCTCAGCATCCTGAGTGCTGAGATTATAGGTGTGCACTACCATGCCCACTTTGGGACCTTTTTTTTTCTTTTGGGAGGGTGCTGAGGCACTCTCACTAGAATTAAAATTGGCTTCAAACACAGGAATCCTGCCTGTTTTCCAAATGCTGGGATTATAGGTGCCACCAGGTCTGGCTTACTTTTTCTTTCTTTTTTTGTCTTTTTTGTTTTCACCGGTACCGGGGATCGAACTCATGACTGCCTGCTTGCAAGGCAGGCGCTTATGCCGCTGAGCTAAATCCCCAGCCCCTACTTTTTCTTTAACAGCAAAAGACAGCTGATATTTAGTAAAGGCATGCCAGGTCCTGTGACATGCTTTACTAAATCTCTAACTGAACCTCCTGATGGCTCTAGGAGGCAGGTATAATTATTACCTCTACTTTCGCCATGTGAAACAGACTTACAGGTATTAAGCAACTTGATCTTGCAAACCTTGAGTCTGCACTCTTACAAAACTTTGACATCACCACCTTATTGTCATTAGAAGACCTTGCTTCTTTCTTCAGGGAGAAAAGCAAATGTACAAACCTCCCTCCATTTACACTGTCCTCCTTTCTCCCTTTACATGGGAGAAGGCTCCTCCTCTTGCCCAGGTTCCTGCTCCTCTAATATTCCAACCAAGACCCACTCCAGGGTCCTTTCCATTGGAGCTTCTTATACCAACCATAATTTCACATTTCCTTGTGATTCCTTCCATCAATGCCTGCTTATCCTGATACTGATACCAGATGACAGATTCTTTTGACTCACAGATGACAGAAATGAGACTGGGCCAAATATAGTTAGCACATACAGTCCTGCATAGGCAGTTTTATTAGGGGAAAGGGGAGCCAGCAATTGATGAGTGACCAAGCTGCTCCCTGGAACAGAGAAAAGCACTTTTTTTTTTCTTTTTTTCATACCGGGGATTGAACTCACAATCTCATGCTTGCCAAGCAGAAGCTAATGCTGCTGAGCTAAATCCCTGGCCAAGGAACAGCACATTTATATTGATTTGTTGGGGTGGGATAAAGTCTGGGTTATTTTGCTGGATATGGTGGCCCAAACCTGTAATCCCAACACTTAGGAGGCAAAGGCAGGAGGACTGCTGTGAGTTCAAGGCCAGACTGAACTCCACTGTGCCACATTATCTCAAAAAAAAAAAATTTTTTTTTTCTGGTCATTTCCATTGATGGAGGGGCATAGTTCCAAAAGATGTTTCGTCTTGTGAAGAATCTGAACTAGTGAGTGGTCAGTCAACCCATCATTAGAGGCTGTTGAATTTTGTGTATCTACTGCTATCACCCTATCCATAGTGTTGGCCCCTATGATAGGGTTGAAGAACTCTGGGTACATGAGCTTTTGTGGCTTCTAAAGAAGCGCAGGGATATACACACAAACATACACACATTCTAATAGGCAATAGGCCAAGTTAACGCTGTATTTTTTTAAGGGTTTTGGGTTTTTTTAGGGTTTGTTTTTTTTTTTTGAGACAGGATCTTGCTAGGTAGCCCGGGCTGGTCTCAAACTTGTGGCAATCCTGCCTCAGGCTTCCAAGTGCTGTTACATGTGTGCATTACCATGCCCGGCTAACTGTATTAAGTCTTGGGCAAATCATGTAAATGATCCATGCATTTCTACAGAGATGAGTAAACTCTGACCCAAGGATGAAGACATCAAAAGTTAAAGACACAATTTAAGACGGAGATACCAAGCCTTTATCTCATTTTAGTCACCCATCAGACATCTGCAAGCCCAAATATAGGGTCAGTGTTTTCAGCAAAAGTGGCTTTTAGGTGCCTGGAAAGTCAGTTGCCCAGGTAACTGTTACAACCTACATGTCAGAGGTATATTATCTTATAGCAAAGCTAGTGGGGGACTAACAATATATTATCCAGCTACAAGACCTCCAAAATTAGTGATTTAAGTGGACTGAGAGTAAGTACACCTAGAGGACTTAGATTTTTCATTGCTAACCATTTCTCATTTCATGCAAACCTGCTTCTGTATTTATCAAGCTCATATGACAGAACTACAAAGAGTAACAGTTTTCTGTGCCCACGGGTTTGTCACCTCAGCTTTCTGTATCACCACTGTGTGCCACCATGGTGATTCCTATCTCAATTCTATTTGACTGTTTAAAAAAAAAACCAAAAAAAACTCCATAAGAGGAAAAGGTGTCTTTTTTTTTTTTTTTTTTTTGGTCTTTTTTGTTTTTATCGGTACCAGGGATTGAACTTACGACTGCCTGCTTGCAAGGCAAGCGCTATGCTGCTGAGCTAAATCCCCAGCCCTAAGGTGTCTTCTTTTAACAGACATTCAGAGGCTGCTTTTGCTGAAAGCCCTGACTCTTCACATGGGCCTGCAGATGCCCACTGAGTAAATAAAAACAGGGTAAAAGCATGCATGTCTGCCTTCATTCTCCATCTTTCTCCTTTACCAACTTAAAACTGTGGGAATTTGTATTGGGAAGTAGGAAGAAAATGTTCAAAGGGGAAGGAGAACAAGGGAGATGGGAGGGGAGATGGGAAGGAATACAAGTTAAAAAGATAAAAAAAAGAAGAAAATAGAAAAAAAGTTTTGTCAAGGGAGAGGGGAAGAAGGATTAAAGGGAAGGGTGAATGGGGAAAAAAGAATTAAGATACATTATGTACCAGTACAAATTCCCTATGATGAATGTGATCATTATTGCAAAAGTATACTAATAAAATTAATTTTAAAAAACGGTGCTCAATTCTGTGGCTAGGCATGTTAATCATTTCAACAGTGTTTATTGCCAGGTGTGGTGGCATATACCTGTAATTCCAGCACTTGCTGAAGCAGGAGCATCACCACAAATTTCAGGTCTGCCTGGGCTACATAATGAGATCAAGCCCAACCTGAATTACATAGCAAGACCCTATCTCAAACAAAACAAAACACAGCACAGTGTCCATCTACAGCTGATAATCATCCTTATTCAAAATCAAAGATACCCAGATAAAAGTAACTAAATTTTTTAAAAAAGTAATTAAGGGTGATGGGTGCAGTGACACTTGCCTGTGAACCCAGCACTCAGGAGGCTGGGGCAGGGTGATTGCAAAGAGTTAGCCAGCCTGAGCTACACAGCAAGACCCCACAACAAAACAAATGAAAAACTAAGGTATTTCCAAGATTGGCAGGGACATCATAATCAACAGATTATCAACCACCACTTTTTTACAATGTCCTGCTCCGAGCTACAGGGACAGCATCTACAAGTCTCCATTGTCCTAAAACTGCTGAACTGACAGGCAGATGACCCCCATGAAGCGACTCTCCCTTGAAACGAAAGCAATCTCCCTATGATGGGAACTGAAGCAATGTGTCTAAGCAGGCCCAACTGTCTTGTGGTGGAATAGAAATGCGCCAAGATGAGAGCTGAGATCACCCTAGACAGTTGTACTAGGTATCTCTTTTGCCCCTTGCCACAATTCTCCCATTTCACCATGAAGCTTAAGTCAGTACCCTCGAGGGCAGTATGAGGACGCCAGTCCCTTTAGTGTGGTTAGATCTCGTTAGTGTTGTTAGACCGAATATTCCTTTCCCACTTTACCATTCCATTTGCCGGGTTCTTTGGGGACCAGTGGCCACAAGAGATTCGCTGGGACTCCCTGAAGTCAGACCCAGCTGGCCTAGACCTCCAGTAACGTCCCTCTGTCGGTTGTGCCCACTGAGCCAGCCCTACAGACACTATACAATCAGTACTGCGAGAGAGGCAAAGGAGATGCTTTCCTTCAAGATGGGGAGCCTTAGCAATTCTGAATAATGATGAAAAGGACTCAATAGAGAGAAAGACTGAGGATGAAGTTAAAACACGTGAATAAACCATGAACAAGAGTTGATGAGCTGAGGGCAATGGAAACCGGTGCACTGAAAGATCTGGCCCCAGTAGGCAGACTTCTCTTATGGTAGTAAGTCATGTTCAAACACTCTCTTTAGGACATTTTTCCAAATCGCTTTATAAATGGTCCTTTCCTCGCCACCCCTTTTATCACAGCTTTCACTGAAATCTACCTCACCACTGGCTTGGCCGTCGCTCTCCACATCTTGCAGCCTGCTCCTGTGAAGCACTCCGGGTCTCTTTCGCTTCCTGGAACGCACTGCGCTCCCCATCCTTCTAGGGATCTACTCCTGCCCAGGACACTCCACCTACAAGGTCTTCTCCTTGCCTAGTTTCTAGGCGTGCTTCACGCGCCGCTTCTGCAGCGCCATCTCCTCTGAGATGCCAGGCGGGCTCACCACAACCCCTGCAACGCAAACAGACTACCGACCCAGCAATAGATCCCACATTCCCGCGCGCGCGCGTAAATTACGCAGTCTCCGGCGCCCGACTCCCGGCGCGCTCCAAGAGGCGAGGCTGGGCGGCAGCCAATAGGCTCTCCGCGCGCCGAGCCGCTCCCCGCCCCCATCCGGTCCATGATCTGAACGGAAGTCAGTTGGGGCAGCTACACTGTGCACGCTATTCTGGCCTGGCTCCTCGTGAGTCGAGCCTGCAGAGAAAGCGGAAGCCCAGCTTCCCTACTGAAGGCTCAGTCGAGGATCCTGGAGTATCATGGCAGCCGGCATTGAGGACATCGCAGCGTCAGCTCCGGCGGCCTCTGATGGTGAGCGGCTTTCGAGGGACCGCCCTAAAAACCTCTCTGCTCCGGGGAAGGAAAAGGCTTCTGGCCCGTAGTTGTAGAGACCTTAAGCTTCGAGGACCCTGGGAGTGTTTTCTTCCCTATCCAGCCACCAGGAGACTACAAATCCCGGCGTGCATCGCGCTGCACTATGAAGCCCGAGCGTTAGGAGCAGTCCAGGCTGCTGCGAGCCTGTCGAGAGGCAGTCTAGATGGAACGCACCGCCTTGTAGTTGCGGTTTGGCCGAATGTGGCAGGTTGGGCGCTACGGTCCAAAGGAAGCAGGATGTATTGAGAGCTCTGAGACCCATGATGGCACCATGAAAACAGTAATACAGAGTCTTAAAAAAACTGACTTGGTGTATCCCTGCAAAACATTTCCTGCAGAGCACGGGGAGAAAGAACCCTAAAAGTCCAGGAAATATTTTAATTTTCTTGTGTCTCAAAGAAAGTTACTGAAAAACCCTGGTTTCTGCTCTCCAGATTTAAGGGACTGTCCATTCCAAGGCATGTATGTAGAGCATTGTAGAATACAAAAGCTTAAGGTGGAAACTCAGATTACCTTGTCTCGGATTGTGTCTCTTCTTGTGAGACCTTGGCAAAGCATGAACATCTATCTCCCTCATTCCCAGGTGGTGTCAGCAAATGTCTTAAGTCTGGGGATGAGCTAGTCCAGGTTCCTGTGGTGGATGTGCAAAGCAACAACTTCAAGGAGATGTGGCCATCCCTCCTTCTGGCCATAAAGACAGCTAGCTTCGTAGCTGTGGACACGGTGAGAGATGGAAACAGGGAGAACAGGTGGTCATGAAGGGGCTGGTGCTTGGGGTTAATCACAGCCCTCCCATTACCATCCATAGGAGCTAAGCGGGCTTGGGGACAGGAAGAGTTTGCTGAACCAGTAAGTACAAGCCTTCTCTTTAGTCCTTTTCCTGACAGAAGAGATAGACTTCAGAGCTCAAGTGGGGGTTGGGAGGTCCCAGTTCTGGATGGTTTGGGTTTTCTATGAACTAACTCAGCTACAGCCATCCCCAAATGCATTTCCCAGGTGCATTGAAGAACGTTACAAGGCTGTATGTCATGCTGCCAGGACCCGTTCTGTGCTCTCTCTGGGGCTTGCCTGCTTCAAGCAGCAGCCAGACAAGGTATGGGTCACCTCATTGGCATTCCAGGTCTGTGGCCAGGGGAAAGGGAGGAAGGTTGAGATCTTGGGGTGCCCTGCATGTGTGGTTTTTCCTCCAAAATCTTGATAGAACCAACCCTCTCTTTCAGAGTGAACACTCCTACCTGGCCCAGGTTTTCAATCTTACCCTGCTGTGCATGGAAGAGTATGTTATAGAACCAAAGTCTGTGCAGTTCCTGGTACAGCACGGCTTCAACTTCAACCAGCAGTATGCCCAGGGCATCCCTTACCATAAGGGCAATGACAAGGTAGGCCTCCAGCTTGTCTAGCCTTGCAGCTCTCACTTATGTGACTGCATTTCTTCTTGCTCTAGGCTATGTGGTGAGGGAGAATATGCTCCTTGGTTTGAGGGACACTTGTGATGGGACTGGGGAAACTGATATACAAGTATGGGTAGCATCACATTAGGTAACAAGGGGGAGCTTCTCAGATGGGGGTGCCTGGGATGAGCGTCCTGCGGAAGATACTAAGAAACTGTCCTTCCCATTGACTCCTCTCCTTCCAACTAGGGTGATGAGAGTCAGAAGCAGTCGGTGCGCATGCTGTTCCTAGAGCTGATTCGAGCCCGGCGGCCCTTGGTGCTCCATAATGGCCTTATAGACTTGGTGTTCCTATATCAGAACTTCTATGCACACTTGCCTGAGAGCTTAGGAACCTTCACTGCGGACCTGTGTGAAATGTTCCCTGCAGGCATTTATGACACCAAATATGCTGCTGAGTTTCATGCCCGCTTCATGGCCTCCTACTTAGAATATGCCTTCCGGAAATGGTGAGGAAATGATTGAGGGAACAGGGGTGGGGCCTGGTATGAACCTATCTCATTCACTTAAGATATTTATTGAGCACCTACCATGTGCCAGACACTATTTTAGGTGCTGAGGATTCAGCAGACAAAAACTCCTGTTCTCATGGAGCTTATGTGCTAGTGGACCAATACAATCTTGCGCTGTTGCAGTGAGCGGGAAAATGGGAAGCAGCGGGCAGCTGGCAGCCCACACCTTACCCTGGAGTTCTGCAGCTATCCTCCTAGCATGAGGACCCATATTGACTACCGTTGCTGCATGCCCCCTGCCACCCACCGTCCTCATCCCAACAGTGTCTGTGACAACTTCTCGGTGAGAGCATTCACCCATTTCCTGGGGGAGGGAAGGTTCTAATATCTAGAACCTCTTTCTAAACCTCTTTCCTACCTCTAGGCCTATGGCTGGTGCCCCTTGGGACCACAGTGTCCTCGGTCCCATGATATTGACCTTATCATTGACACTGATGAGGCTGCGCTGGAGGACAAGCGGCGACGGCGGCGACGTAAGGAAAAGCGGAGGAGGGCTTTGTTGAGCATCCCTGGGGCACAGACTTCTGGTGAAACTGAGGATTGTCCTCCTGCCAAGCAGATCTGTGGAGATAGCCTCAAGACTGAGAAAACTGAGCAAAAAGTGACTGAGGATGAAACTAAAGACCATCCTGGATCTCAGCAAGGTCACAAAAATGACGTGGAGATGGATCTTCAGCCACTAAAACCTGAAACAGCTGATCTGGCTCCTATAGAAGAGCCAGAGAGTCAAGCCAGTCCTAATCAAGTGCCTGGGGATGGTTTGCACCGGGCTGGCTTTGATGCCTTTATGACAGGTTATGTGATGGCCTATGTGGGAATGAGCCAGGGATCTCGGCCCTGCAGCTCTGGACTCTGGCTACCTGAATGTCACAACAAGGTCTATTTGAGTGGCAAAGCTGTACCCCTCACAGTGGCCAAGAGCCAGTTCTCTCGATCCTCCAAAGCCCATAACCAGAAGATGAAGCTAGCTTGGGGTAGCAGCTGACCCAACTTCTATTTACCACTCAGCCCAGGAAGAAAGACTAAAAGAACAGTTGTTTGGGTCTCTAACCTGTGAATGTCACCTCAGCAACTTAGGGAGTTCTAACTGCATTCCCCTGGACCTTCTTTAACCCACAGGGTGAGGTACAAGGGTTCAAGAAGGCTGACCAGCACCTGCAACACCAACTTTATTTTTTAAATCTGAAAGTGTCTTGGGAAAGTTTTACAAAAAAAAAGAGTTATGAAAATATTTGACCATCTTCATTCTTTGGTTATTTCTTATTGCAGCTCTTTAAGGACAAACTGTTCCCAGAGCTCCAGGGATAGCAGGAAGGGAGGAAAAAACAGTCCAAATATAAACCATTTAATCACTGGCATGTATTTGTTCACAAATACATAGAGCAGGCCCTAAGGCCTACAAAACTAGCCCCACTCCCAACCACAAGGTTGAAAGTCTTACGAGGCAGAACATTAAGACTTCTTTATAAATATGAAAATAGATTAATCAACTGGAAAGGTCTTTGAATAGGTTAGCTAAGAGCCATGACCACCACACTGCCTTGCCCTCCCCTTGCATAGAAATGTAGTGACGTGGTCTGACCATGAAGTGCAAATAGCAGTTATTCAAGTGTCTTAGACATACTGGCAAGAAGCACCCCAGTCTTCCAGTCTGAGAAACAGTCATGCTTTTATGGTCTCTTGGTTGACTCCACTTTGCATCTAGCAGCTTCCATGCCCCAAGAGAGGGCATGAGAGACCTAGTTTGGGAAAAGAACTGGGGTAACAGCAGCCTGCCAGCTCAGCCTGAAACTAGGAGTTCTGGTCCTGTCTGGGGAAATGCACTGGCATCAAGTGGAGACCAGAGCTCCTTACTGGATTTCAGAGGCTTAGTATCAGCAGTTGGCCCTAATAAGAAGCCTTTTTATTGCTGCCTCCCTTTCCATATGCAGCCGTTGGGCACTGGGAACCAAAAGTTGAGCATGTCTTGGCTTGGCTTAGCCAGCTTGCACTGTGGGCTCCGGGAAAGAGTTCAGGCTGTGCACTGGGGGCTCTACAGCTTTAGGTGAAGGTTTTTCCCCAAGGTAAGGCAGGGACTAACCTCCCTCATTCATCTTGTTCTTGTCTCAGGCCCACACCTGAGACAGAGTAAGAGCCTGCTGGTCTTTCTTCTTCCACCTCCATCTCCTCAGAGGCAACTCTGTAACATGAGCTGGGCCCCAAACCGTTTTCCTCCTGGGGATTGCAGCAGTCCATTGCTTCATGGGCTGGAGTAACTGGCAGCGTAGGCCCTTGGAATGGCGGGATCTCTCTCACTCTGTACTTGAGACTGCTGAGGCGTGGTGGAGGCCCATCCGATAGTGATTCTTCACAACTCACAAACGGACAGACTTTATGACGCAAGAATTCGGGTGAACCCGGCAAAGAACGCCATCGGCGAGCTGGTAGGGCTGGGGGTTCCTGCCAGCCAGACGCTGGCACATTTCCAGGCCCTGGTGCATTCAGGTCAAATACTAGGGAGATAACAGACTTACTAGGGAGGTCAAAGAACTTGATTTTACCACCCTTGAGGTCCTGTCGGGCACTAAAAGGGTTGACTTTTGGGGTGTGGGTAGCACCATCTTGTGGCCGGTAGTAAGGGTCCAAGACGCTCACTGTACGTGGTGCCTTTCTAGAAAAGATATCTGACTGGCTACGAGATAGCCAGATAGTGCGTCTTGGACGTGGTGACTTGTTGGGAATCTTGTCATCCAGTGAGCTCAGTCTCTTCCCACCAGGCACTTTCTCCAAAATACCTGAGGAACAACAGAGAGTCAGTCTAGATTACTCTTACTAGTTTCAAAGAAGTAGTACTTTATTACAGTGTTATCACTTGGGGAAGCAAAGTAGGTAATCTTGTTCCATTTTATCGATGAGAACAGACTCAGGACGAGGAAGTAATAGATCAAATCATACCTCAAAGTCCAGTACCTTTTCCCCTCATGATCTGCCCTTCCCTGCTTCAGGACCTGCTATCTTGCAGTCATGGCCATAGAGGATAATGTCCTACAGCATCAGCTTGGACTATCTGGTTTTAGCTGTGTTGGTTGTTTGTGGTTTCTTCTTGCTGGTCTAGGGATTGGACTGAGGGCCTTCACGTTGAGCTCTATCTATATCATTTCTGACACAAGGTCTTAAGTTGCTAAATTTCCTGGGCTAGTCTCAAACTTGGGATCTTTCTGCTTCAGCTTTCCAAGGAGCTGGGATTACAGGTATGCACACCTGGCTTAGTCTGATCTCTTACCTTTAGTAGTAGTCTGCATCTTTCTATCCTTTTCTAGCTCTTCATCCTGTAGGCGTAGGCGCCTCATAATTTCCTCCAGGGTCTTCCCAATCTCCACAAAGGATGGTCGCAGTTTGGGGTCCATCTGTAGGCAACCATACCAGCCGTGAGCCCTGCCCTCTATTTCCCACCCCCTAAAAATGGAGTTCTGGCATTTTGGGGGATTTAGATGCGCAGCTAAGAATTCTGTACTGAGGTCTCAGGCCATGAGAGTGATTCCCATGGTTAAGATCAGGGAACATGCTATTATCTGTTAACTTCATTTAGTCTGTTGTATTCCCTTATTTGGAACAACTCTCCAAAGATGTATGTTCACACTGGTTCTTTTTTGTTGTTGTTTGTTTTTTAAGACAGTCTCACAGTCATTAAGGTACCTTGAACTTGTGGTAGTCCTCCTGCCTCAGCTTTCCAGGGCTGGGATTACAAGGCTGCACCTGGCTTCATATTAGTTCTAGAGTTCTGCTGAATGTATGCTTGTGAGGTACCTGAACATACTAACTACCCTTTGGTTGTAACAGGTCTAGCCCCATATAAAATAAAATGAAGGCTAATAAGAGCCTTTTTCATATGCATCAGGATTGGCTAGAGCCACAGTCCAACAATAAAACCTGCCCAGAGCTCCAACATCCAAGACAAAGGGCAGAAGATCTACCCTGCAGGTAGAGGTCTGAATAATAATACAAAGCAATTTTTTCTTCTCTTGGTCCAGGGCTCTGGAGAGCCTGGCCAGGCCAAGAGGAAAATTGGTGTTACACATCCATTAAAAATAAAGTCCCTCTGAGACTAATTAGCTGCCTTTCTCTAAAGTCCTAACCAGGACTCAGCCCCTGACCATAGCCAGGGGAGAAACACTCACATTACAGCAGTTGAAGGTGAGCTGCAGAAAGTCTGGGGGACAGTCTCCCACCATGTGCTGGAAAGCGTCATAGTCCAGCCCGAAATTCTGTGGATGGGTATGGCGGAGGGTACAGGGGTATGGGTAGACGGATCATTAACCCCCCCACCCATTCTGGCCTGCTCACTAGAAGAGGCTGGGAGCTACCTCTAGGAAGTAGCCACAACATGAGTTCCAGCAACTCCATCCCAGGGACAAAATTCCATAGCCACAAACCAGCCCCGTCCCAGCGGCACTGTCCCCAGACCCGCAGCTTACCTCAGTACGGGGAAGGTAGTCCGGATCAGCCTGGATGCGGGCGATGATCTCACAGAGGATGATGCCATAAGAGAACACGTCTGCCTGGTGGGCAGTCAGACCTCGGTTTCTCTCAATAGAGCAAGGAAGAAGTTCTGCCCCCATGTCTAACCACCCACATTTAGGCCCTATTATCCAAGTCATTCTCGGGGCAACTGCAGATCCCAACCCTGTTCTTGGGAAGGAAGCATGTCAATTCTTACCATAAACACAGAGGGTGATTTTAGGCACTAACTGCTGATAGAGTGGCTTCTACAGAGAAAAAGGCCTTAAGCACTTCCAGACTTACCTTCTCATTATAGGGCTCATCTCGGAGAACCTCTGGTGCCATCCAGAAGGGTGAGCCCACCACAGCCAGCTTCTCACTCCCCATGCTGTGAGGCAGGATTGTAAGAGTGAATTTGCTACTGCCTGGCACAATGGGACCTTTGGACTGTTTGGATTTTCTCTCAAGGATGGGTACAGATTAGGACTGCCCAAATACAGGAGGTGAGACTGAGCTGTGACCAAGTCCAGACTCAGAAGAAAGTGGATTTCCCCTGGCTTTAACTCCCTCCTCTGTGACCCTGGGATCTATTAGGGCTGCTCACCTCATATCAGGGATCTTCTCAGCCAGGCCAAAGTCAGCCACCACTGCAGAGTAACCATTCTCATCTTTCTTTATCAGGCAGTTCTAGGTTCCCAAAGAAAAAGAAGACAGGATAAGGCTCAAAAGTATGGGTCAGTCAACTACAGCATTACCACCATGCCTCTGGTTTTTTTGTTCTGTTTAGTGCTGGAGATTGAACCCAGGGTCTGGCATATGCTAGGCAAACACTGTACCACTAACCATACCCCTAGCCTTCCTCTGCTTCCTAGAGAATCACACTTGGGCTTACTCCACTGATCAGATCTAGGGCTATTTTTATTTATTTATTTATTTATTTAGGTTTTGGGGCTTAAACCCAGGGCCACCGCACTGTGCTACATCCCCTCCTCCACTTCCTTTTAATTTAAAAAAAAATTATTTTGAGACAGACTCTTGCTAAGTTGCCCAGGCTGGGTTAGAACTTGCTATCCTATCCTCTTGTTTCAGACTGTCAGAGTACTGGGGTTATAGATGTGTGCCACTATGCTTGGCTCAGATTTGGGAGCTTCAAAGACAGCCATGTTAGAGGAGTTAGTTCTGGATCTTGAGTGGCTGTCCTAGGTTGCATTTTAGGCTCTAAACACAAATATTTATACTTACTTTCTAAGTACTAGGCATTTCTTCAATCAACAAAACAGGAACCTTTTTCCTCTCAAAGCTTATAATCTGGTGTAGAGGACACACTGTCAGTCCACTGGCTGCCCTTTTACCTCAAAGTGCAGAGACCCAACTCCCAGACCTAACCCTTGCCAACTGGTGTAAGCACAGAATACGTATGCAAGCCTGTACGCTTCACTGCCCACGGATTCAGGGATAAGTGCCAGGGTTAAGGACTGTACAACATGTACCATCTAGCTAAGGATATAGCTCAGTGGTAGGGTCTGTACTCAGCATGCATGAGGCCCTGGGTTTGATTCCAGCATCACAAAAAAGTCTATGAATCCACTGAGCAAACTAGCCCTACTCCCACCTCCCTGTCCCCATTACCCCTACACACACCTCAAACTTATAACAGACAAACTCACCTCACCAACCTTAAATAAGCTCAAGGAGCCTTTGCTTATACCACTATTTTTTTTTTTTTTTTTTTTTTTTTGAGACAGGGTCTCG